TTCATTTTAAAGAATATCTTTATGCTGCCTCTCTGGGAACCTGCCCCAAGGCGGCTTACAAAATAAAAACAATACAAGCAAAACATTAAAAAATATTAAATTAAAATCCAGCATTTTTTAAAAAGCATAACAACATAAGTCATGTTTCCAGGCTAAAATGGTGTTAGAAATCAATCCCTTACTTAGAAGCCTGAGTAAACAGAAATATATTGGCCCGGTGTCTAAAAGAAAGCAACGTAGGGGCCAGGTGAGCCTCAAAGGGGAAAGTACATTGCACAAGTGAGGTGCCACTACTGAAAAAGCCCTGTCTCTGGTTGCTACCTGCCTCATCTCTGAAGGCAGGGACACAGAGAGCAGAGCTGTGAAACAGATCTTAACTGGCAGCCTAGACAGTATAGGAAGGGGAGGTCCTTCAGGTAATCTGGCCCCAACATATTGAGGGCTTAAAAGATAAGAACCAATATTTTGAATTGTGCCCAGATGGGCAGCCAGTGCAGATCTCTGTATCCCCACCCCTGACAATAGCCTGGCTGCTGCCTTTTGGTTGAGTTGAATTTTTCAGACCATTTTCAAATGCAGCCTCATGTAATGCGTGTAACTGTCAGGCTTCCCCACAGCATCAATGAAGTACACTCTTGCAGAAAGGTTTTACTTTATTTGAAGCTATAGGTGCATGTACAGGATCACTGTTAGGAATGGGGGGGAAGCAACGAGCATGGCAGGTTATAGTACATTCAAACAGCTGAGGCCCAATTGCGGGATTTCCTGCGCGCGCCATCGGGCCTGGGAGCCAACACTTCTAGGCGGCATAACATATCTCCTTCCCATGGCCCTCCGTGAGATCAGCAAAGCAACTATCCAGCAGCAGGCCTTGAGAGATATACACGTTCCAGCAGCTAAGCAATTAAGCGCATCAACGGGTCTACATATGAAAGCGAAAGCAAGCACATACATGGGAAAACCAAAATAAAAGAAATTTGGCAGCTTGCTGACAGTAACAGTAGTCTAACCTGGATGTAATCAGAGCATGGATCACTGTAGCCAGATCACGCTTCCTGCGGAATTATTATGCCATATCAACTGAAGCTGGTTTTGTTTTACTGCTGTTGTACGCCTGTGGGCTATATTTGTAAGCTGTTTCAGCATTGGTACACCCTTGTCTGCTGAGCGGACAGGACAAGTTGGAGGGGTGGGTAGTGACTGAACACAGTATGGTTTATGAATCGCAGTTGTTCCTACGTGAACATATCAAAACGAAGCACCAAAATGTTCATGTAATACCTTTCACATCTCCACATTTTTGAGATAAATGAAATATTCTATTTAGTATTGCTTACTGAACTCCTAGGCATAGAAATCTCTTGTGGAAAAGTATGACCTTATCAGTTACCCATTCTTGGAAACATTGAGTTTCTGCCTAGGAAAAGTGTTCAGAACTGTAATTGGTAGAAAACATTATTTATTGGTACTTATAAGTATTGAATGGTCTTCACTGCCTTTGAATTGTTTCCAATCAAATTTTAAGAAAAAGCGTGGACTGTACATACATTCTTTTGTGTTTGAAAAGGAGCGCAAATTATCATGGACAGAGTACAACAAAAGAAAAGAGTAAGAACCCAGTAGCACCTTGAGGACTAGCAAAATTTGTGGTAGGGTATAAGCTTTCGTGAGTCACTGCTCAGTTCTTCAGACGCAGCTAGAATGACAGCAAAGATAGTGAACCTCATTATATGTTACCTTTAAAGGAATACAAGCAGTCCTTCCAGAGTCATACGTACGTATCTTAAAATGAGTGTGCATGGAATGTTGAAAGGATCATACAGATTTTGTTTTTAAAGAGAAGTCATAAGTGCAATGAGTTCCAAGAAGGGAATCTGCATTCATGTACCTTCTCTCTGAAATAGATATGTTTCTTCCAGCATGATATGTTCACATGGCCACGTATACTGCAGTGACTCCAAAGAGGACAGTCTTGTTGCCTGCCCCCTTAAGTGTAAGATGGGGGGACAGTCTTTTTGTTTGTGAGACAGAATAATTTTGCACTAGTAAGATCTATGTAAGACCAAAAGGAAGGCCGAGTGCCGAAGAATAGACGCTTTCGAATTATGGTGCTGGAGAAAACTCTTGAAAGTCTATTGGACTGCAAGGAGATCAAATCAGTCAATCCTCAAAGAAATCAACCCTGACTGTTCCCTGAAAGGTCAGATACTGAAGCAGAAGCTCAAATACTTTGGCCACCAAATGAGAAGGGAGCATTCACTGAAGAAGACCCTAATGCTGGGAAAGATTGAAGGTAAAAGAAGAAGGGGACGGCAAAGTATGAGATGGTTAGACAGTGTCATAGATGCAATGAACATGAATTAAGCAAACTCCAGAGGAGGACAGGAGGGCCTGACGTGATGAGGTCCATGGGGTCACGAAGAGTCGGATTCGACTGTGCGACTGAACAACAACAAAAGTACCAGTTGCAGTGTGTTGTATCTTTACAGGCAACAGTTAGAAAGTTTGATTGAACTGTGCAGTAACATCCAGCCATGACTCCTTAACCTTGGCAACTGTGTTGGTGCCTTTCTTCCCAGTGAGCAAGAGTTGTCAGTAAAAATGAGACCCCTGTCATGTTGTCAGGGAAGCAACAGCACAGAGGTTTGATGATTTTCAGTCTTAAACATTAATGTAGTATTTATTTTTAAAAAATGAATTTCCAAAAGCTTAAGCTGTCTGACACCCAGCTTCCTTTCTCAAACAAGGCAGCTACATAGTGCAAAAGCCTTGTAGACTGCAGCCTATACAAGTGTTCTATTTTCCTCCTAATCAGAGACCTTGATTTTTCTTAATCATTCTACAGGATACTTTGTGCTGACTCAGCAATAAATCGGTTCTTGGCAGCACACTAATAAATACAGGAGACTACTGGAAATACCATCTTTCCACTGAGATTTAAATATGAGGCTCAGAACACTTGATACATGAAAATTCCATGGTTCCTTTAGGGGAAAGAAGGAAATGTTACCCCAAAGAACCTGTCCAAATTAAAATGTATGTAGCCTTGTCTAAATGTCACTTGGGAGGTTAAACTGGATTGTAGCAGGATTCATAATGACTACAGTTTTTTATTATTACATAAGATGCTATTCTATCTAGTCATTTGTTCTTGTCTAACTTTCTGGTATTTGCGTACTGGAATGGAATGGTGTTTTACTCGTCCCTCCCCCCCGTTTTGTTTAAAAAAAAAAAAAAGAGCAAAGATTGCCTTCCTCTAAAGTGAGAACAAAAAGAAAATATTGTGGAGTAGGTGATTTTTTTAAAAAAAATCTATGATTGTGTAGATAACATTTTGTAGTGTTTGAGTGACACCCCACATGAAATGTCAAGATGCTTTTCTTTTTATAGGTGTGGACTTTTTTTGCAACTGACAAATCTTTTCACATTTCTCTAAATTAAAAAGCTATGTGGGCTATAATGTGTGTTCAACTAAATGGCTCTCTCCTAGGCATTAACAAGTGATGCATTTCATGCTAAAAGACATTATTAGTCCCAGGTGCAAAAACACTGTGAGATTTAATAACATCCCCGTTACAGTGGGCAAAATTCACTGACGAGCATGGTAGCAACAGAATCTACTTTTGTTTCAGCTTCCACAGCAGTGTCAGAGTTGTGCCCATTTGAAGCTTCCCCCTTGAATCCAGATATAGTAGTGGGCAGCAAGGGGTGCCCAAGACAGTGGCAGGGGAGGAGTTGTGTGAATGAGGGCTGTAGTGGTTGCCTTGTGTTTGGCTGCACAGCTGAAAGGCAGATGCTTATTCACATGGAGTTTGTGTAAAGTTCCTAGTGCAGCAAGGGACCCTGTGATTTGAAGCGGTTTTCCTACACGTTTCTCCCTTGCAAGGTCAGGGGTGAAAGTTTTTTTTTGCTAATGCTGGCCTGAAGAGGGAAGAGTTTAAATCGGAAGATGGGTGATATCACTTCAACCACTTGTTTACCAAGACTCCAACTACTTTCACCCCTGGTCAGGGTGATGATCTCTATCAAAATGATATTGTTCCTACTGTTGCCTGCAGATGAGCTTTGCTTTCAGAATCTTATTGAAACTTGAAAAACATATTTGAGAAGCACCTGTGTCTGGATTTGGTGGATCAGGACCAGCTATCTGAAATAGATTCTTCCTAGTTGCCACTGATCATTCTAAAATAGCAACTATTTTGTTGCATAAAAAGGGAAGACACTAAAGAGGGCATCATGTATCATTTTAATCTTAGTTTATTTAATAAAGGAGTAGATTTTTTATCAAGCTTAATGCTGTTCTTACATTTGGAAAAATCAGTACAGGTCACTTCAAAGGGAAACTATAACCTATAAAATGTGATTAACCAGTTGTAAAGAAGTCTAATAATCCCAACTGTGTTATACTATTTAGGTTAGATATCAAGTTACCAGCACTGCCAAATCATTTATACTCTCTAGTGCAGTTAACTTTATTATCGGTCTGATCAATATTACACGGCTGGGACATTCCTCCACTATATACCTGAACAGAATTATTTTCCCAGCTATATTGTAATCGGATTATTTACTTTCAGAGGTCTGTAACTTTCTTTAGTTTCATGCCAAATTAAATCTAATTCTTTTTAAAGGTGAGTTGGGAGAATTAGCAACTCCATTCATTTTGAAAATGTTCGTACTTACTTTCTTCTCTGATGACTTAGAGTGAAATTAGCTGAGGGAAGAGTTTAAATAGAGTCCAGAAGTGTTGTTTACAAACCAAAACACATCTTCAAATACTGTGTATTGGGGGGGGGCTTTAATACTCATCACTTACAGTATTGGCAGAAATATACTCAATGTTGGTCAGTATTGAGGGACTGTTTACAAATCTTTTTTATCTTTGGATACTATTCTAGAGAGAAGTATACACTGGAAACATGATTTGACATTGGCATAGGTGGTACAAACTTAAAAAGAACATTTATCGGTAACAGTATTCCCTTTTCTTTTCTGTTAAGGCTATGATGGTAAGTTTTATGGACGTCTATCAACTAGCGGGCTCCAGAGTTGCCACACTAGAAAGAGAAATCGCATCCCATCGGCATCACATTGCAGCTTTGAAATCAGAACTCCAAACTGCTTGTCTTCGTGAAAATGAAAGCTTGCACTCAGTAAGTGTCTGCTTTAATTTTTCATTTTCTTTTATTCTTGGAATTTTTACCATCACATGGCTGTCTGCAGACCCCTCAGTTTGCTTATGATAACCGGGGTGTCAATGACACTAGAGCATTTGTATTTATTATGTAGACATTATCACTAATTTGTTTTTACGTTTCAGAGCAGCAGTGCAAACCAATCACTACTTGAAAGGTTTCATAGTCAGTATAGAGTAGGAGGAAGAATTCAGGTTTGTCATTCTGTCTTGTACTCAGGGCCGGCTTGCTCACTAGGCAAACTAGGCGTTCGGCTAGAGTGGGCCACCCCTTAGGGGTGCCAAACTGCATCCGCCCACCCCGCCAAAAGCAAGTCCTCAGCACGGCATGAAGTCCTCGGCATGGATCAGCCAGGGCGCACGGCTGGAGCAGCACGGCAAACAGTGAGCACCTCTCCACACCAGCGGCTCCTCCAGCCCGGCTGCCACTCGCCCCCTTGGCCCGCCCGCTGCAGCTCTGCTGCCTGTCCCCGGCTGCTGAAGCGTGGAGCTAAATAGGAATTAAGCAAAGCCCCGCCTGGTAAATAGTGCCACCTTCGGAAGAAAGTTCGAATCCCCAAGTTTGTCTTGATGCTTCGATTGCAACTCTTTGCTCCTCTCCTCCTCCAAACAAATGGGGTCTCACTTTGGGGATTCAGATTTATAGCTGTAAATGGGGGGGGGGCACTAGAAAGCGAGAAGTCAGCGTTATGACACACACACCCTCCCGTCTTCTGCAGAGACAGGAATTTCACTTTCCTAGACAACAGGCGTTTCGCTTCTCTAGACGACTTTGGCAGCAGCCCCCAGACTTGGGGAGGCGCAGCGCCAGAAGGGGGGGCGCCAGAAGTTGGTGGGCACACGGGGGGGGGCGCCAGAAGGTATCCTCGCCAATGGGGGGGGGGGAAACTGGGGCCGGCCCTGCTTGTACTAAAAAGTATGCGGGACTGTCAGTGCCAAAAACGTAGCTTCATAATTTGTTTGCATTCAACAGTGAAGCCTTTATTTAGATTTTGGAACAAAGGGTTTTTTTTTAAAAAAAAAACACGCTCATCGACATGCAACATTTTTAGTTAAAACATTTCTCTTTCACAAGCACAAGGATGTGTTTCATCTGGCAGCAATTTCTAGTGATTCCTTCCCACTGCAGAACCCACCCCCCATGCTACAATGCTAACTTTATGGGTTTAGGGAACTGCTGAAAGTGAGAGGCCAGAAAGATCCATTGTGCAAGAGAAGCTGTACTTATAGTTCCTAGAATCCAACCTCATATGCTTAATCAAACTGGTAATTAGAACGTGTTGACAGACATGTAAGTCATACTTACTTAGGTATACTATATTATCTGTTTAAAAGGCATGATATGCTTTCTCCCTTATAAGCATCAGGCAGATAGATCACTTGGCATTTCCTTGCAATTAAATTAGATTGGAGTGAAATAATATGGTTAACTGCATTTCTGAATTGTTGAAGAAATTCTCCATTTAAAATCCTCTACAAGTTTTGCAAGAGTTCAGCCCACTAAGTAATTCAGTATCTTGAATTAATTCAATTGTGTCTGATACATCTTTTGAGTACCTTAGGATCCTTTTCTGTTGTTCTGATACAGGAGTGATGGTAAAATAAGCTAGATCCTTCAGTAACATCTCGCTGTATTTGTCTTAAACTGCAGTACTTGGAATAACACAATTCAGTCCTATTGACTTCAAACAGCATGAACAGCCCTTTAATAGACTTATTTAGGATTTCAGTAACTGACCCAATGGTTTAGGATTAGAGGTCTTAATCAGCTTAAATCCAAGGATATTGCTTTAGCTAGAATCTGCAGATTTTTTTTAAAAAGCTATTTGGTTATCTTGCTTGGTTTATCTGTGAGCTGTTCTTGTGGCTTGTTTTTTTATGCCACTAGTGTACAAGTCAAGAAGACCACTTATTTCTACCCCACTTTCCCCCCCAAAGGGACAGAAAATGACTTGTATTAAAAATTGTATATATCAATAAAATAGCAAAACAACAGGCTATTGGACTTATTTGTTGCCTTGCCACTCAACTCACACCTAAGGGTTCACACTTCTGACCACATCTAGGCTTTACAGGCAGCCAAACAGGAGGGGAAGAACAGATCCTCAGCAAGGTGCTACAGCTGGGAAAGGTGTTCCTCCCACATTTTCCATCCCGCTAGTTTTAACAATGGATTGGGTATCCTGCTAAGAGCACACACTAAACCAGCGAACTGTTACTCTTTGGCCAGAGAGAGCACTGAGAAGCTCTTTAAAGAACGGAGTTGTGGTTTACTCTGCTAAGAAAAAAGCTGTGATACATCTGATTAAGCATAACCATTTCCTGCAAACTAGTTAAATCTATGTAAGCACAAAGTGAAAAGGTTTCACTAGTACAGCTGAATTTTGGGGTATAACAGGAAATGTCATGTATCCAGCATGTTTTATTGACATATGATAAGTGACATGTGATTAGATTTGTGTCATTGATTATGTATAATGTATCTTGTAGTATATGCAGTGTGTTGAATCTGTATTTCTTCCTCAAAATATACAGATCACAATTCCCTGTTTTCTAATGAGGTGTATTTTATTCTGTTGCCATTTCACACATTTGAATTTGTTTTGAGAGGTTTTCCACTAGTATTTGGGATTGTGTATCTAGAATTTCAGAATGCAATATTTCTGTATTAGTACTTAATACAAACACAGCTCTCCTTAGTAATAGCAGAAGTCATAAACAGCAGTATTTCCAATGTTCAGCTCTTTAACCAACTTTTTTGGAACACACAAACTCAGACTACATGTAATAACATATTCAAAAGACACAGTTATCTAAGCCTGAATTGAACTCTGTATATACACATTAACAATGTCCATATTATGATTACTTTATCTTGACTTTGGCTCAGTGTACATTAGCACAGTGTGCACACAGTCCATGGGTCTTCCCTCTAGGTTTTGTGCAGTGGTAGGTATATTTCACTTTCTGAAAATCTAACCAGCCCTTGGATCAGCCAACATGTAGTGTGGCTGGTCCTTCCCTCTCAAAGCAGGAAAATCTTTCTTTTGGTGCTGAAGGCTGCTGTAAGTACTGAGGAGTTTTAGCTGTAAACATCTGGAAGTGCCAAAGGCCAAAGGAAAAGGCAGAACAGTGGAGTCAGTGTACATGCAGTATGAAGAATGTCCAGTTGGCTGCAACAGAATTGTTCAAGTTTGTTGTATATCAGGAGGAATTCCCAGCAATTACTCAGCCTTTTGGAATCTAGATTGTATGAGGAAATAAAGGGAAAAGGAAATGGACAAAAAAGAATTGGGAGAAGGAATGTGTAAGAGAAACTGAGGAGCCGGGGATCACATGGTTGAAGAGGAGATGGAAATTTGCTGGGGTCAGGAGTACAGCTTCAGATGAAGGGGAAAAAGAGTAATGAACCTCAGGAGAGGACAGCTACAAGTGAGATAACAGCTGGAGAAAGAGTCAGGCTGTCATTCTACCACTGGAAATGCCAAGAGTTGTTGCTTTTGGATAGATGTCTTAATTGATATTGTAATCCAACCAACATTTCTGTTAGTACTTTTATGTAGTATTGTGTGTGATATTTCATTTGTTTCAATAATGCGTCATTGTGATAAAATACCACATGCTGAGGCAGTGTGCGCAAATGGAGATGACATAATTCAGTAGACTTTTCAACAGGCTGAATAGAGACTTGAAAAAGTATGAGTCTGTTAGAAATAACCAAGTTGTTAAGAAGCAGCAAGAGTATTTTAAGCATAATAAATGTAATCACTACTTATTGCTGCAAGGATCTGGACACATTTTATCCAGGTAGTACTTCTGTGGTTGGAGTATCTTATTTTCCTAATACTCAGATTGCAATATTACATTGCTGGTAAATATCTCATGGTACATTATGTAGAACTCACAACTGCCATATGAAGTATGCTTGTATGAGCATCATGCTAGTTGATGAACTGTTCTCGTGCCAGTGCTTTTTCATGAATGTCATTTTACAAATTGTTTAAGTCCTTATCACTTAAATTGTTATGTACCATTGAAGCATGACAACACTAATCTAGTCCAGTTACTTTCTCCTTCCAGTGTGATTGCCAACTATATTAAAAGTTTGTTCTGTGATCTTTGAAGCCTGTGCACACTCACTCTAGAACATCTATTCCCCTGTTTTCTAAAAAAAATAGAAGAAATAGCACCAAGGATCAGGCTACTCCTCACAGCAAGCCCCTCCCTCCCATTGCAAGATAGTGGAATGGGATATAACATTACTGGCATTGTGTTGGGGCTCTTTCAAATATGGTGCTAGCATAGAATCTGACAGTTTCAGCATAGAATCTGACAAGAGACTGTCAGGTAATCATTCTAGTCATCAGTACTAAAATTATTTAATCACTTTGTTGGTAGAGCAGCTGAGAACTACAATCAATGTTCTTGTCCTATCTTTTCAACTAAAGCCCCAGCCCCCCCCCCCAAACCTTTTTGATGTGGCCTGGGAGGGACACGTTAGAATGGCGTTTAAGGTAGTATGGGCAAGCTGACTGTCAAGGGGAAGAAGTGGTGGCCCTTTGGATCCAAGCCAATGGCAATAAAATATGAGAACCACATGAGTCAGGAAGCGCTAGTTGGAGCAAGGTGTGAAAAAAATTCAGAGTAATCTGACAATATATTTGCTCTCCCTTTTGGGGACAAAGAGTATTTTTCTTTCTATATAGACTTTTTTATATATTCAGGTATGTGAACTTTTACCTTGTCAAGCTTTTGTAACATATTTGAAAATTATAGTAATTTGATTAAAACGTTGCCTATAAGGCAAAGGAGTGAGTTAATAGAATCCATATGCAATTAAAATGCAGAACTAAATGTAATCAGACCCCAGTGACTAGGGCCTTCATAATGGTAGTCTTATAATAGCCACTGAGGTTGAAAGTTTATGTTCAAATGCAGCAGTACCACAGCACACGACCA